AAAACATTTTTCTGCTTAACTGCAAATATATGAAAATGAAAGAAACCAACTAAACACTAAGTCAAAAATGTCACTCCCAAACACGACAGATGAAGAAAAAATGATAGCTATGATGAACAACAATGAAAATAAAACAATTATAAAACTAGCTAAATACATTTACGAATGTTTCAAAATTAGAGAAAATAACATGAAAAAGCCTTCATTCTCATCCAAATAAACAACAATATTAATATCAAGGCATATCTGCAAGGTTTTTTTTTTCTGTTATCATTTTTATGATATTTTATCTTATTGTCTTTCTTGTGTTTTTTTCTCATCCACACTTTATTGTAATTTAACTCAAGATCCTATAAAGGATACGATATCAATAAAGTTTATTATTACATTACTATGATGCCCTTCCGTTTGGAGGGCCTCACTTGCCTTACATCATGGTGGTCATACTATGATGCCCTTCCGTTTGGAGGGCCTCACTTGCCTTACATCATGGTGGTCACAATAGAAATACGCCTTTGGAGGGCCTCACTTGCCTTACATCATGGTGGTCATACTATGATGCCCTTCCGTTTGGAGGGCCTCACTTGCCTTACATCATGGTGGTCATACTATGATGCCCTTCCGTTTGGAGGGCCTCACTTGCCTTACATCATGGTGGTCATACTATGATGCCCTTCCGTTTGGAGGGCCTCACTTGCCTTACATCATGGTGGTCATACTATGATGCCCTTCCGTTTGTCGCTAACAGCCAAGCAGACAAGATTATTAATGAAAAAAAAAAACTTTAGCTATTTTCAGTTTTAAAAATGAAAGGACATTTGAATTTAAGATACATTTTAATTTCAAATTTCAAAAAATTGTACCGGAGATTATTTTTAAAAACAAAATGTAAATCAAAATGATAAAATCTTTCCAAAATACATGTAATAATTAATATTAAAAATAAAAAAAAATCAAAGTTTTTTTTCAAATTTGAAATAATAATAATTATAAGTGTTTTTGTCCGTCATTTAATCAGTTTATTTCTAACCGCGTGGTTTGGGGGTAAACTAAGGCAACTGTACATAAACTAAGTTCAAGTGAGGGTGAATGCGTTAAAGAACTGTCTTCCTATTCAACTCGGTAATGGATTAACCTCGGTTCAATTGTGATACTACAATACACATCTCATATTTATTCCGTCCAGTTCGTTTCTGGTGTAGTGCGACCATCCTACTGTAATTAATAGCGGTATTCTTCAATACTATGACGTCAGTGGATGCAAGTTTTGACCTATTGACCCAATAAAAAGGAAACAATGGTCGTCAGGACCGTGCGTAGTTTATTTGCGCATCTCGTCTAGCCTGAGTGATAGAGACGTGTTGAAATAACGTATCCATGTCTTGTTTATCTGGATTAGCAGTCTTGTTTGTTTATCGACTGATTTTAATGATAACGGTAACTCTAAACTTGTGGCCGAGATGTCAATCACAATGATCTTTTCATTATTTGCACTCGGGTATAACGAGTAAACAGTTACAGCCACAACTCGCCACCCTTTGTTCTGATGTGTTCCATTTCGTGCGTACTGCGCATGACAGTCGCGCGCATTGTAATGAGCCCGCCGATTGGCTGTATGGGAACAGTTTCATTGTTCGCGCTTTGTAATTGACAGAACAAAGGGTGTTCGATAAAAGCTATGCATCGCTAAATTGTTAATGAACATTTTGTTTGCACGACACCGTCCAGCAAAACGTGAAGCGTGTACTGGGTCCATAGCAACGAAAGGCTGAACAACCAGTTTATGTATAAAATACTTTGATGCGAACAGTCTTACGCGTATTCACGCCGTCCATCAAAAATGTCGTCAACTTTTAGCGCTCCTGGTCGGCCAAATTATGTGAAGTTGTCAGCTGTGAAAGAGGGGATGTACCACCCCAAAATACCAACATTTCGTCGCATGGACATGGACACTGCAGCACATAAATTACCAGAAGAACATTGTCGAACTACGACTACATGTGGACCCGGTAAGAACGCCTCCATATCTACCACCGCATATAGTTAAACGTGTTGTTTCTATGGAAATATATTATAACAAACGCCCGTTTGTTTTTGTTTGTTTTTTTCATTTTTGCAGGAGATTTCAAGAATGCGAACATCACATTGTTTCGATCCCCTGCCAGATCACTGTCATGTACGGTAAGTTATCAATGATGTCTTAGCGATGTCATTTTACGTACTGTTAATTCGGCTCCTCGGTAACCCGGGACATGCCAAGTATTTACACAGTAGTGCTGTATATATCAGCTCGGTCAATGACGTAATAGTACGTGTTAATATCTGTCAGCAGTTGCTTTAAATACATTCACGTCAAATTTGATCAATTGATCAATTGTCTTCCTATCTCGGTGTAGACAATTACACAGACAGAACATTACGACTGGGCCAGTGTCGACACTCTATTGTAGTGGCAAACAAGATGACAAGAGTCGACTCATAACATTTATTACTTCGATCAATGCTTTGTCTGGTTTAATTGAAATTCTAATGAGAGCCATTATACGGAATAACGTCATAGCCTGTATTTACTGACAAGCTTATTGGTAAATATGCAATCAATACGGTCACACCGATCACCTTGGTCGATGTCAGTAACCTTTTAAACGTTTTTATCATGCGAGGTCCAGGCCAAGTTGTAATCAACTACCCATTTGAGTAGTGTCAGGGTTCTTTTGGGCGTGAAAAGCAAACCGTAGCTATGACAACATATTGTCATAAAAGAATATTGTTTTACGCAGACTACGTGCAATAACTTACAATGTGACTAATACAAGACAGGTTGTTTTACACCTGCGCCCACATTATACTAAGCATAGGTGACGTCACAGCACGCCGGTTACTGAGATACGTACCGTGTTCTCATTCGAAAAAAAGTACGCCTGTTAATAATTAAAAATATTCTATGCGTAAATATGTCGCCACCCGTAAGCCTGTTTACATTAACATAACATTTTCACATATATTTTTCCTTTACGCCACCACACATGCTACACCGGCGTAAAGATGACAGACAACACGATTACAAACAGTGTCGGGATTGGTGTTGCCTCTTGGAAAATACAAGTTACTGAACTAAATAAAGTGCCCTCTCTCCCATGCATCTACATGCGTTTATAGAGACGTTATAATTATATTGTAATAGAGAGGTTCAGCAGTTGCTATTTACGCCAAGTGTTCTTTCATAACCTTTCAACATTTTTCAAAATAGTAACATAGCTGCAATCGACACACTTATGTTGCTCAAAGCGAATGCACATAGTGATTTACCAACCGTCTGAAAATGAAAAAAATAACATTCAGAGACTCAATTTAGCTTGTTATACTGGTAAACCGCTCTGACTCTTTACCGTGACGTCACAAAATAACTAATACTAATAGTGTTTGACGTGTGACAATCGCATTATCATCATAATGTGTTTTTTTTAGTTTTTTTTATATTTCTCACGAAATTTAGAGGATTACAGAAACTGGACGCTCGTTGAGGGAGATATATCCACCTTCAAATTTTCAACTAAGGTGAGTTACCTGTTAAGGTGGGTCAGAGTTAAATGACAGGGCGTATCAGAGTTACGTGTCAGGGTGTGTCAGACTTACGTGTCAGGGTGTATCAGAGTTACGTGTCAGGGAGTATCAGAGTTACGTGTCAGAGTGTATCAGAGTTACGTGTCAGAGTGTATCAGATTTACGTGTCAGTGTATCAGACTTACATGTCAGGGTGTATCAGAGTTACATGTCTGGGCGTATCAGAGTTACATTTCAGGATGTATCAGTGTTACATGTCTGGGTGTATCAGAGTCACGTGTCAGGGTGTATCAGAGTTACATGTCCGGGTGTATCAGAGTTACATGTCAAGGTGTATTTGA